CTGATAATAAAAAAAAGTAAAAAATTGTCAGTTCTAGATGCAGAAATCAATGATATTCGAGACAAATTGTTGCCATTTACTGATACACAGGCATACAAACAAAACTCTATTTTAATTCAAAGTAAAATTGAAAAGGTCGAAATTGAAACAAAACACATTAAAATTAAAAAATATATTAGAGACAAAACAGATTACTCTAATAAACAAGTCCGAACCTACCACTTGAACAAGAAATACACCTCTCAATACCCTGTACAAAAAAGTGGTTTTATGAAAACCAATACTTATCACGAACAAAAAGCATATGGAAATCCAGAGAGACAACACTTCAAATACCAGTCTCATCAATACCAGAGTACAAGTAAACCATCACATCAATCACAAAATATGTACACCTATAGGGCACCTAACAACCACTCCCGTGGTCCACCACAACGAGCCAACCACTATAACACTCATCAATATCATCCCTTTCCACAACGTAATCGAAATAACTCTCACCACAACTATCATGATACTTCACCAATATATCACAATAAACCTGGATTTCAATATAAACACTTGTCTCCCAAACCGCAAAGATCGAAGTATATCAATGACCACAAAGAGTATGCTAATTACTCCAAATCACCTACGATTCCGAATCACCCCAACAGATTTCAACTACTGTCACTAGACTCTGAATTTGAAAATGAGGATCATTTTTTAGAGATCCGAACCAATCGCACTACATTAGCCCAAACACCTCACCCCTCACGTCCCAAAAAAAGGATTTTAAATTCAGAGGAAGAAGAAGTGGTAGACGCGAACAAAAGAGAAAGACTAGAAAGATAACACCTTCTCCTAACGTAACTAATGGAGGCATTTTTAATCTGTCACCAAAAATTTTAAATAGTGCACATTTAGCGGTTTTAACTAAAGGTCTTAAGTTTGCCCCTACCAATACTTTTAAATCTTTTGAAGCTTTTATTGATGTGAATAAATTTGTTCGAAAAGCAACTTTAAAAAGATTTTTCATGGAAAAACCTGAACAATATGCTACCATAACCCCGTCAATACCTTCATGTAATAATAATATTATTAATACCTCCCTTAGAAAGAAATCCACTTTTTATCCTGCTCATTATAAGTCTGCTCCCCTCACTATGTTTGAAAAACTTGTTACAAAAGATTTAGAAAAAATAAAAAACAACAGATATGACCCCCACAATTTAACCCATCTAGAAAAGATAGCTCTGAAAGAACTTCAAAATGATGAAAATATTGTGATCAAACCAGCGGATAAAGGTGGAGGAATAGTTATTCAATCTACTCAAATGTACATAAATGAGGCTCTCAGACAACTAAATGATGTAAATATATATGAAAAACTCACAGCAGACCCCATAAAACAAATTCAAAATGGTTTTATCGAATTTTTAAATAAAGGTGTGGAGCAAGGTATTTTAAATAAACAAGAATTTAATTTTTTAAATAATCAACATCCTATAACACCTGTAATCTATTTCCTCCCGAAAATCCATAAAAGTGAAACCCTTCCCCCTGGAAGACCAATTGTATCAGGCATAGGTTCCCTTTTATGCAACCTTTCGCAATATATAGATATTCTTTTACAACCCTCAGTCAAACTCATGAGATCATACCTTCAAGATTCCATGGCTCTTTTAAATTTTTTAAATAATTTTACATGGAAATCTAGTTTTATATTGGTGACATGTGATGTTCAGTCACTATATACGATCATACCTCATGATATAGGCTGTCAAGCTGTAAAAGATATTTTAACCAAAGAAGGGAAAATTATTGATCAACAAATAGAGTTTATTTTAGAAGGTATTAATATTATTTTAAACAACAACTATTTTTGGTTTTTAGACTCTTTTTATCTGCAAAAAAGAGGCACTGCCATGGGGACCAGGTTTGCTCCCAGCTATGCAAACTTGTTTATGGCCGACTGGGAGTCAGAAGCCATCTTTGGTAATCATGCGTGGAAAGCGAACCTGGTCTCCTTTTTTAGATATATTGATGATCTGTTTTTTATTTGGGATGGTACCGAAGAAGCTCTTAATTCTTTTATCACTAACCTTAACCTGAATAATAGAGGCATAATCCTTACCTGTGAATACAGTAGAGAACAAATCAATTTTTTAGACCTTGACATTTTTATAAAAGGTGGTATGGTACATACAAAAACTTTCTTTAAAAAGGTTTGTGTTAACACTGCCATTGACAAAAATAGCTGTCATTACCAACCATGGCTAGACAGCGCTCCTAAAAGTCAAATACTTAGACTTAGAAGAAACTGTTCAGAACTTAAAGACTTTGAGATACAAGCGAATCTCTTAAAAGATAAATTCGTTGAAAAAAACTACTCAAAATCAGAATTAGAAAGTACCATCATGGAGATTCAAGGGAAAGATAGGAATGAACTCCTAAAATATAAACCTAAAACTACGGACACAGATATGCCTTTACCGATTATTTTTAACTTTAATAATAAGAGTAATAATGTTAAAAAAATCATAAAAAAACATTGGCACCTTCTTAAACAAG